GAAGAAGAAGAAGAAGAAGAAGAAGAAGAAGAAGAAGAAGAAGAAGAAGAAGAAGAAGAAGAAGAAGCGATCATTGAACAAGGGCTTTATTCGCCTGACGTTTCGTATTCTCACTTGTATCCATCTTGAATGTTGGGTTCACGTGAGAATCCGAAAAGTAAGGCGAATAAAGTCCTTGTTCCAGCGATCGCCTCTTCTTCTTAGGATCCCGCACAAAACAACGGGAGAGGGGGCTGAAGAGAGTTGGCAGCCGGACGACGGCACGCTCGGCGCCCGATAAGCGGCGTCCCCAGTGTGTGAGGGAACGCGCCACAGCGTGTCAAGCCAGGACACGTCTGACTTGACCTTGAATTTGATTGGCCAGTTGGCGAATGTCAGACAGCCCTGGTGCGCACTTGCAGACACGCGCGAGAGGCCCGGAGTGGCGGCAGGCTTTCGGATTAGGGCCACTACACACTCACCTTTTGTGTTGAGATAGGTAGACATGGGATCTTTTGGGGCACTGATCCCAGTTTGACCTTTATATAAATTTATATTAACCGTCCGTTGGCACCGAAAATGTCGCGGCTGCTTTTAACTTGCTTCAATATGAAATCGAGATGTAGAAATCTCCTTGAACTGTAGGTACATACATTCACAGACTCTAGAGATTAGCGAATTCCCGAGCGACCCTGCTGATGACAAGGAGCTGAAGGTTGGAGGTGCTGACAACAGTTCTACCCATGTCTTGACGATGTCCGCCGAGTGCTCCATGCAGGATGAGGACAGGGACGGTGGCTTGCATGTGAATGATTCTATAGTGATGCCAGGCTTGCGTTACATCTACCGCACTATCTCCTTCTTCTCCCCTCAGCCCTGTGGCAAGATAGAATGAAAAGGACCAAAGGCGGGAGAGCGCCCAGGTTGCTGGCAGGGCAAAAACAGGCACCTACTCACGTGCCGCCACACTGGTTCGGATCTCGCCGAATGAGAGCGCAGAGAAGCCACATTAAGAAGGAGTCCTTTCAACCTGACTCTCAGTTAAACAGCCGGTCACTTCACACAAACACACACTACCATGGCCCGAGTTATCTGGTCACTTGGATGCCTTCCAAGTCGCGATTCGAGAGCGTCAGGTTGTTTGTAGTTCGGCAAACGCGCTCAGACTGTCGACTCCACTCTCTTCCCGATCACAGGTACCAGTCCATTGTCGAAGCTGATCACTTGTCTGACGTAGAGAGTGGACGTGGGGGAAGACAAAGCCAGAGAGCCAGTTTTCGCGCGCCACATACATGACCGAATAGACCCATAGGATGACTCAATATGCCATGGCAGTAGGGGACACTTCGGGTGGTGGAGTCTGGTGCATGTTGATGTTCCATGCGCTGGCTCGCCAGTCTCTGTGCGATGGGTTCGCAAGTGCCCAACAAGGCCGACGCGTCAACGCTGAGGACAGGTTAGTGCTGAGTCCAAATCGGGGAGGGGGGCAATGAGGATGTTGGTTGGCGGGGTGTCGGCAGTGTCCTGACCGGTGGCGGCATTGAGGGTGATGGTCGTCGTCGCCCCCGGCACAGAGGTTTTGGCAGAGGCACTGAAGATGACACTGATCGACGGCGGGGGAGGGGCAGCTGGATTATAATTGGCGGTAGTGAAGTGCTCGTCGCCATGGGGGCTGAGTGGATTGGAGCAGGGGCGATAGGGGAGGCAGCTGTTGGAGTCGTCGGACTGATGGTGTCCGCTGAGGCCGATCGGTGCACGAGACGCTAGTTGAAAGTACGGACAATGGATTTTATTCGAGCTTATGGGTCTGAAACTTGCATATCATTTAAAATACACCACGACCAGTTGAAACCTTACGTAAAAATTCCAGTCTAACTGAGCTTTTTACAGAGAGGTGGATGAGGTTAAAAATGGAAAGAAATTCACTATGATCCTCCCAACATTTGAAACATTTTGTCCTCGGTGTTTTGACAGATTTTGAATTATTCATATTGACTAAACTGTGAAAACCTCGGCGCCTCAGTGGAATTCGAACCCACGACAACAAGATGAAGGCTTTAGTATAACCAGCGCTCCAACCACCTGAGTTAAGAGGCCTACTGGAAGACGTGAGTTTAATAACATTTGGGTCTGACTACCCGCCCTGCCTACTGCAACGTCTGGAATCCACCAAATCTGATACATTAAGCCGACTGCCCAAGTAGGATTTCCTAAGTAATCCACCTAGAATCAACCAGATGACTACCAGACTCACGTAATTCATAAATGCTTTGACAGAATTCGACTAAACTCACGTCTTCCGGTGGGGCCAAGCAGCTCAGATGGCTAGAGCGTTGGCTGTACTAAAGTCTTCCCTTTGTTGTCGTGGGTTCGAATTCCACTGAGGCACCGAGTTTTTCGCAATTGGGTCCATATGAATTTTGTCCAATAAATTTTGCGATATCTTATCATATGATATTTTCATAGTCAATGAAAAGTGTTGTATCCAGCTGGTCAACGCTTGAAATTCTCCACGCCCTCCTCGCACGCGCTTCCACATTTGGCCCCTGTTGACATTCCCTTTTCCCCTTTTTGTAACCCTCTTTCGAACGTGATCAACTTGCTTTTAATTAACTAGTTTTTGTATTCTGACCTTGAGCTGGAAATTCGATTTGCTCGAACAGTCATGAAAGAATTCTTTGTTTAGGGTATCCATTGTTGAGGTTTGTACGTTTTATATGATAACCACATTTGATCAATAGTAACGTATATACATCGAAATCTGTTTGGCCTATACGCGTGACTCAATTTAATAAGAATTCCACAAAAGGGATTTACTTAAAAATCGCAATTGTGGAAGAAGGGGATCGCGCTAACACGCATAAAGGCTGTGTTAATCGATATTTCAGCCGTCGTTTCAGACAATGTTCATTGTTAACCCAAAATCGGGTTCATTGCAGGGACTGTGACGTGCGCGTGACTTAGTATATAGTAGTAGTAGTAGTAGTAGTAGTAGTAGTAGTAGTAGTAGTAGTAGTAGTAGTAATAGTAATAGTAATAGTAGTAGTAGTAGTAGTAGTAGTAGTAGTAGTAGTAGTAGTAGTAGTAGTAGTAGTAGTAGTAGTAGTAGTAGTAGTAGTAGTAGTAGTAGTAGTAGATTTTCGTTGCATCTACCGCTCTTCCTTCTCCTTCCCCGCCTGGGTCCGGTGCCACAACGGAGTCAAGAAGACCGGAGGCAAGAGAGGGCATACGCAGCGTAAAACCGCACCTAGGCGCTTCAACACGCTCTTGATCTGCGCATAAATGAACAGAATTTTGTAGTGGACAGCCACAGTGGCAACGTTGCACCTCTCGCTAGCGCCTGCACCTACGTCCTAGCGACAGCCTCTTACGGCACACACGTCTGCCCGGCTTCGATTTGTCTCGTTGCAATTCACTGTCTGCACCACGCACCTGGTCGATTCTCTGCCTGCACCGTGCGAGGCCTGTCACTACCCTCGCGTGGGCTTGGAGCCAATCAACGCACCTACTATCGCTGATTGGTAAGACAGGCGGAAACAGCCCAGAACACTAGCGTAAACAATCTGCCACGACACTTTTGCAGCGGCGACCTTCGGCGACACAGGGCTCGTCGCTCTCGCGGACGCCGCCTCCGCGGCGCCGGACGCATCCTCGTCCGGTTGCCACATTCCCTTTATTATTCTGTACAGAACAAATAAATCATTTTCCTCTTCAACTGGCGTCCCGCTTCTTTTAACATGGGATGTGGCCTGAAGTTGTGGCGTACTGAGCGCACACCATCACCACTTAGCCGCTACAATTTCACAGGACAGAAAAAGAAGGCAGCTTGTGCTTCACACGCATGATAGTGCGCGTTAGGAAGGAGCCATCTCAGTCCGGCTCTCAATCCACCATCCAACCACTCCACAAAAACACTGACTTGACTGACGGTGGCGATGCCAATGATTGACGCGTTTTCGGGAGTAATCTCACCGGTGGAGGGAGTGGGACGGGTGGTAGTCATTCTCGTCCCGATGGCTGTGCCAGGGATGACAGAGGTGGCGGTAGTTGCCGGCAGCGGGCCTCATGAGTATGGTCGCCGGTGTTGTGGGCGACGTAATCGTGGACGGGTTGGTGCAGGGGTTACGATGGGATTTTTGTGGAGACAGCGGGGGGGGAGGGGGTGGGGATCGTCAATTTGTTGTTTTATTGGGTTCCGAAATGTCCAATGATGCCGATCTGTATGCGGAGTACTGATTGGCAGCATGGACATGGGATTTGAAGACGCTTGTAACTTGTAAGCCGTTCCTTCGGCTTTATTAGGGGACGATTTGGTTGACTTCATAGATTATTGCTCCAGTCGTCTTCTTCAGGCCGATCGGTCCTGTACGAGGTCTCCCCAGGTCTCCGGGCTGATTTCCTAATGCTTCAGAGAGTTCTTCTTGCTCCCTTTTTGTCGGCGGGCCCTAGTGACGATATCCACAAAGAAGAGTCGTTTAGGCAATCGCACGTTCCCCACCTTCACGCGCTGGCCACTCCAGCGCAGTTACAGCTGCCCAAGCATGGTTTTGCGGCTGGGGATATCAGTTCGTTCAAAGACATTCGTGTCAGAGGTCCTGTCCCGTTCCTGTAACATTCGGCTGGGATCGCATCGGATCCCAGTCATCAGGAGCATGCCCAGGTCCTCGCATAATTTGCTCTCCGCCTTGCCGGTGAACTGAAGGCATAGTCGTGAATCGAAGTACTAGAAATCGCCAAGTTGAGTCCGGATTAACTACGCGGTTTGGTTTTTACACATGACCGATGTTTCCTGCCCTATGTAAGCTGCTTCCAAGTAGCGCATGTCAAACTAGGTCTTCATTTTCAACCCCCAGTTCTTTAATTTGAACACATCCCCTTACATCACCAGTTTTAATGTCGTTTTGGATGAGCTTTTCACTTACTGGGCTTCATATTTTGATCAATAACTTCTCGCTGTTTGAATTTTTACCTTGTGGACAAACTCAATCCACTGAAAATTATTACCCTCTGCTCACACATTGAAAAGACAGGAAGCAGTTAATATCCTGTCGCAAAATTCTTGGCGCATATAAATTCCGCTGCATATACTTGGTTTTAACTTATACCTGGACTTAAGTACTTCACACTGCCTCGACGCTGGGGGTATGATGTGAGCGGAGGAAAAGTGAGATTAGTGTTTCACAAACTCTTCCTTCTTTAATTGGACCGATGTTCGTCCAGAAAATCATGAAGCTTCAACAGCCCCAGTATACGTAACTAAAAACAGCAGATATTTGCGAATGCGAATATACTAGTTTCTGAATTCTGCTTTGGTTGCTATCGAAAATTAGCTCATTCGAGAGTCGGTATTAGCAACGCAATATGGTCGGAGTAGTGACAGCTTATGAGTGAATTACGCACAAGTTCACGTTGACCGTGCTTGTGGCAGTAGAGTAATTTGGACGAACCGCAGCGTGAAAGTGTGAAAGTTACGTTATATGCAATCGGAAGCTGTTCTTTTTTAGGGCGTTTTTCGATGAAGTAGATCGATGTAGAGGCTGAAAAGGGCGATAAATGCCCTCCATAGCGTAGTCGTACGCTGTCACAACCATAAACGGCCTACTTACTATATTAAAGTAACCGCATTTAATAGAGGTAAGTTGGTTATGATAAGGAACAGCGGAATGGTCACTTCTGGTTTATCGGCCTTCATGAGCTAATAGTAATGCAACCCTACGTGCTAGCGCACCAGAAGTTTAAAACAAGACATAGTGGGCCCTTGGGTATTTTACTTCCAATGCTTTCTCCTCTTCGATGTCCAGTTTCGTACTCTGCCGACAGTTATCAGGGGTAAATGTACACATGGGGGGACCGTTCACCGAACTATCCTGAATGCCGACCAAATGACTACTAGTAAATAAGTAATTGCGAGCAGGGAACTACAGGTAGCACTTTTCTGAGCCCGATTGTTGCTCGGAACATCGTAAGCAGAATAAGGTCTAGGCCTGGTACTACAAGATAAAGTGAAAATGCTCATTCCTGTTCAGCATTTAATGTAGACTCATAAACCCTAGTGTCAAGTGACTTAAAACAGTTTGATAATCTAAAATGTGGCCACTTTTATCTGTTTATTTTCTGACCAATTATTGACAATTCCTACTGAATAGTCAGATTCGCAACGATATGTACTGTAGAATTCCATGGTACCGAGCAATTGTTCGCTTATGTGGTAATACGCTTTTGAAGCCCCTTGACATGTTAGATACCTAAAACGTGGCATTAGTTATATCGCATTTGTTGCGGTTGGTTTGCAACACCCTAATATACATCGACATACGGAGCAACTAGGAGAACTGAGGTTTTAAGGCCCAACAGTAAGTAAACAACTCTATAAGATGACGTTGGACCCGGACTGAGGTAGGATCTTAGTCTTTGTTATAGGCACCTCGGACGCGGAATACTACGTCATGGGTTTGCGTTTCAGTTACGATCTAATGACCCCCGAGCAAATAAATAACCCCAAACCCCGTTGGAGCTCAATCCAAACTGACGTGCCCACTCGGAATGCCATTTTACGATGTTAGACTGAAATTATTGTCTATTAGGTTTAAGGTGAAAAGAATTAGTCGACTTTAGGAGCCATCTTCGTGCTATCCCGACCGTTCAAAAGTACGCAAGTACCCTTCATCAGACAAAGCAGTGATCTCACGATATATCATTTGCTCATTTTTCCCTTCAACTTCATCAGTCTAATTTCAAGTACAGTGGGGCAAAAATTAAACCTGTAGGCTTGCAAAATAACTGTAGACTTCACAATAATAAACGTGTCGCACTCGCCTGTTCTTTTAGGCCTTGATATAAGGTGCAACTAGTTTTGTTCCAATCAGAGAGTTATTTTTATAAGAAGACAAAGGCACGATCACCGGGACGGTGATCGTGCCTTCGTCCTTTTTTAAACAAGAACCTGGAATGCGCATATTCTCTGCCATTCGTGAGTTATTTTTATTGTAAAATTTATGTATTCCGAGGGGACAGGGCATTAATGAACCTCATTTCTTGTCTATAAATCAAGTCATCTTACTAAGCTAAGTGCAATCCTGTATATTATTACCGTTTTCTACACAAAAATAAAAATCTGCTCTTCGCCCAAAAGTTGTGAAAACGAGTGTAGAGTCAAAAAATGTAGTCATGGTCATCTACAATGTCATTAGCCTGAGGGGTAGATAAGTGTTTGATGCCACCTTCAAAGAAATCCGCCCCATTTCCAGAACAATAGCCAGAAAAACTTTTCACCTTCATTTTTGCTTCTGGACATTTTGCCTTCCATTAGGTATTTAAGTGATTGGTAGAGGTGAAAATGCATAACTGCTAAGTCAGACGAGTATGAAGGATTTGGTAAAACCTCCCATAAGAACGACCCTGTGTTTTTCTGGGTGCCTTGCGGTGTGTGGCATTGCAGTGTCATGCTAGAGAATAACACTTTCCCTGTTTACTAAATCGGCACACTTTGGACGTAATATTTCCTGTGCATGGTCCAGCTGTTTGCAAAAAGACATTTTCAGTGATGGTACTCCCACTTTTTGGTAGGTCATAATGGATTACACCCTTCATGCTACACCAAACACGAAGAAAGAATTTCCGTGAACTGAGTTCTGGCTTTTGATTTGACACTGACTGCGTTGTCCGTTGTGGCGAACAACTGCCTTTTCGTCACGGGCAACAATGCGATCCAGAAATGACAGGTTGTTGTTTCTGGTTATAAGATTGTTGCAGATGCTGGAACATTGTGTTCGAATCTCAGGTGTAAGCCTACGTGGAACCCAGATTTCCGAAAGCCGCAGTAGAAATTACTTTTTAACACCTTCGTTCTTTGTCGAAAAATAAAGCGACGAAAAGAGGAGGATATTTCACTGAGAATATGCGAGGTTCAGGGAAATCCAGAAACCCGCAATGCCTTTCTAAGTTTAGAAAGAAACCCTGTCGAGTAACATGTGGAACATTTTAAAAAGACCTAACTGCAATTGACCGTCGCACAAAGGTATGACGGGTATCGCTGGTTTTCGTGCAGAGAAGGCAGCAATAAATCCGAGTGCATAAATTTGCGAAAAACAGCAAAAAATATCTCGCCGTTTAGGGTGCAGGCTTTCGGACACGGTTTCGCAAACGGGCTTGTGATGACACACATGATCTTGTCACTGTACGCGATGCTGTTTTTTTGCTTGGTCTAGCCTGTGGACGTCAAAAGTCTCTCACATGCAACATTTCGACAGACGATGTCTGCCGTGTGCGGCACAACAGGGTGAGAGAAGGTGGGGAGAGGGGGGGGGG